TTCTGTTACTAGTAGGCTGTTTTTTATTCTGGAACTTTTTTTACTTAAGTTTTATTTCAATTTGCACAATTGAGTTTGGTTGTGATGTACAACATGAGGTTTTGGTATGCAAACCTTGTGGCACAGTGAGACTTGAGTAATTGGTGAATACATTGCTACACATGTGTCATTTGTGTGTGAGAATGTTTAACATCTATGCCTTGGTCAACTTCCAAATATGCAGCATCTCATTCTTCACCATAATCACTACTGTCACTATGAGGTGCAGCAGAAATCTAGGGCTTATTGCCCCATTTAACTGAAGCTATGTTTTCAGGGCTCTGTCTTTCCAACCTCTCAACACTGCACCCCCACCCCAACCTCCAGTACCCACCACTTTACCCTCTGCTTCTGCAAGTTCGACATTCTTAGATTCCACATGTGAGTGAGATATTGTTGGTATTAGACTTTCTGTGCCTTGTTTAGATCACTCAATGCCCCGTAAGCTTGTCCATGTGTCTCAAATAACAGCAATGATTTTTTTAAGATAAATTTATTCTAATGAGTATACATAGCATATTTAAAAATATATTAACCAAATGATGGACACAAAGACTTATGACTATTTTTTCAAGGACGTTTCGGAATGTATTTAAATAATCTTGCTGATAAGTTTATTTCAATTGCCACTTTTTCAACACTGAAAAACCTTAAGTTTAATTTGTTATGAGAAGTTATCTTTTTATATATTTCTATATTTAAATGCTACTTATTTTTTTATAATGTTGCACTACATCTGTTAAATGAGCTTGTAGTTTTTACCTCTGTACAAACATAGAGGAACAAAAAAATTATTATAAACAGACAACAATGTGACATACACATTGTATAGGGGAACAAGAACAGGCATAATATTGAAAGTAAATGCAGGATTGAAAGAAAGATCCATATGGATCTCAACACTAGATTTTTTTTAATATGGCACTAAAAAGAATTGTTAATAGAACCATTAATGATAAAATGAAATGACTGATACACTGTCATGTGATTTCTAAATGAAATCAGTGTTAAAACTTAGCTATAGAAATTTCATGTAACTCTGTATATAAAAGCCAAAAATACGTCTGGACAATATTTAAGAAGATTACTAGAGAAATTATTAGAAAACTGCTTTAAGATTTGGGGATGATTAAATATTTTTTATAAATACTCCATAAAGAGCAAAAATAAAAGGAAATAATTCATAAGTTGAACCTCATTAATACCACAAATTTATTTTAATCATTATATATTAAAGCAAAGTCAGATCATGGCGTTTGAGAAGGTACATATAATTATTATAACCTAAAGCTTAAAAAATACATTAAAAATGTCTAGAAATCAAGAAAAAATGTACATGTACTTTGACTCCAAATTCTCTTAAGTCTCAAGCAGGATGGCTTGAGTCACAGTTCAGCCACTGTAGCCATCACAGAAACGAAACTGACACCCAACCCTTGATCCTGCACTATACCAGCCAGAACACCTAGACTAACAAGTTGATGCTGACTTGCATATGGGTTTCATACATGGTGGTGGCAGTCTAAGACGATTCGTCAAAATTAGAAGTTACAAGGCAGAACACCTGGGAATTCACAGCATCTTTCACTGCTTCATTGTACTCAGAGCTATGGGACCAAGTTGCAAAAATTTAAGTATTCGCACCAGCAGTATTCATGCTAAACCCAAATCAGAATCAAAATTAGAAAATCAGGATAATTATCCCCAGGAAAAGGGGTCTTCCAGTGTAAATGCACTAAAGAATTCTTCCAGGTTTTGGGAACTATGAAGATGTCAGTAATGGCTTCAGTGATTAATGTAAAATCAGATCATGTAGGCCTCTTTTTATGATGTCAGGACTACTGTGGTTAATGCCTTCCTGTATTCCGTATCATTTACACATTAGCAGAAAAAATTTAGAGTCAGAAAGACAAAGAACACTTTATGTCTCATAGAACAAACGCATATTCATAAACACACAGATGAGAGACATTGAAGTAGCAGGGGAATTATAAGGGGAATGAGGTCTGAAGAGAGGAGGAAGGGAAGCTCCAGAGGGTAAAAAGGAGAAGAAAGACAAATATTTACCTTTTTCTCATATGATAATCTAAATTTAATTATGTACATTCACACACAAGCATGCATGTACACCATCTCATGAAAGCAGAAAGGAAATTATTTGGAGCAGAGGAGCAAAGGCAGGGGAAAAAAGGGACCAGGGCTAAGTTGCAGGAGGGATTGGGAGATGGGAAGCCAGCACAGTGATGTCTGTGTGTGAAAATATCATGGTGAACCCCATTATTTTGTTTGATGGGGAAAATTAATTCAAGAGGAAAGAAAATGTTTCCTGTGGCTAAAAATATTTCCAAATTATCTGCAAATATTTTTCTATACATAAATATGGGTCATCTTCATGGATTGGATCAGAGAAAAATGGTATATGTGCTAATTTAGAGACAGCTGTCTGAAAACATTACGTATTCTTTAAGAAGTTATGGTGATTCTGTGTTAAGAACTTAAGATTTTTATAACTTGGAAAGTAGATTTATAGATTATATATTTTCTTGACAAGTTTTATTTTGAACCATTTTGGAAGAGGTAATAATTTTGTAGTTCCTTTTCCTTTTATGTTGGATATAGTGTCTAATTCTTCTGAATTTATCTCAGCAGTCAGTCAGATCTTTGATCACTATCACATGTTAATTTTCACATAAGTATTTACAGATATCTTTGTGTCTATAAACATTTAACCACTATAAACTACATCTCTAAGAAATTATGAAAGTATTTTTTATACATTGACATCACAGTTGGTAAGAAATAAATGAGCATTACAGACTTTGCAATATTCATTCTGCCCATCAAATGGGCTGGTTCCCAGACCATCAAGTTAGTGCTGGAAAATGTAGCTTGGGACACCCTGCAATTGCGGCATTTGGTCCAGTGCTGATACCTTGTCCGCATACAAGTGAAGCATGTAGGAGGGAATACTGCTGCAATTCTAATGACCTTCCCTTTGTCTTATGGAGACCTTCCCAACAAAATGAGTGTAGATGGGGCATAAGAAAGTGCCAATCATGGGTCTAATTCTCTATGGGTCTTCTCTACCCAGAGGAGATCTTCAATGCAGTGGTGGAAAGTTGTCTTAGGAGCTCGACTCCAGAGACACTGGCTGAATAAATAATAAAAACCATTTTCCTGAAGATAGGTTCAGTTAGAGCCAGGATGTTACAGGAGAGATTGTGTTAATCATGAGACCAAATGTTTTCTCACTGCTGGTCCTGGAAGCATGCTCACGGTTGAGCTTCCCATCAAAACCATTCAGCCTGGGCAGCTGGAATGGCTTTGTCTTGGAACGTGAGATGTTCTTCTTTAATAAGAAAAGTAAAGGGAAGTTTATTTAAAAGCTGAGAAAGTCCAGAGCTGGTTCCCTTTGTAGGGATCAGAGTGTTTTCTCATAGGTAACCCAACACTTACTGTTGGTCAAGGGAAGCTGATGAACCTTTTCATTTGGCAGACAAAACCCCCTCATCCCCACTTGATTAACAGGAGTGTGAAGAGGAGGAAGAAGTCTCATCATGGAGTCTCCTTGGAAGATATGAGTGCTTTATGGATACTGGAGTGCATGGCAGAGGAAGTATGAGTGTGAGGAGGCGCACAGGTGGGTAAGGGTGCAAGTATGAGTGAGGCGCACAGGTGGGTAAGGGTGCTGGCCACTGTCTTCCTTCAAGTAGATTCCCAATCTCCCATCACACAATTCATTCCCCACCCAAGAGAGACATGTTTAGAACCTGAAGGCAGTGCAAATTGTAGGGACCCAGAATGCTGTGGGTGCTGCGTTTACTGCTTTGACAGTTAGACAAATACTTATAAGAAGGTCACCACCTGAGTTGGTACTGTCTTTACCTGCAATTCTAAAAGCAAGAGTTGTTAACAGATGGTGTAGTTGCTTTTTCTTGGCTAATTTCCAGCAAACAATTGAATGTTTTCGTAGATAGCAGAGAAAATGAGGCACATTTCTGACAAATAGACCATTTTATAATTGAGTCCAGATAAAATAGTTTAGGATGTGGGAACTTACTTGCTTTCTAGTTTGGACTTTTGAGGGGAAAATCACACATTTTCATTGGAGACAGTTCTTTGAGCTGGGAGAGGTATAATTAATCCCATGGCTAATCAATCAGACAGTTGCATGTCCTAAAATTAACGAATTAGTATTATGTTTTCATAGCTATATTTATTTATCTTTCTAAGTCAATAGTTTGAAACACACTTTTGGATTCTTTACAATTTAAAAGTGGTGAAGAGATTCTCTTAAGTGGCTGAACTAATGTGCCATCCTTATCAAAGCCTGGAGACTTGAGGTTGTCCCAAGGGTAATAGATCAATAGAAATACTGAGAACCATGAATTTGATTCCATAGAAAGCAATATTTACAATGAAGTCCAAGGACAAGGAGAGAGAAGCTACCTAAGTGTTCCTTTATTGTATTGCTTGTTCACCTTCAGTGTTGAATTGTTTCATCGAGGAATCGAGGACATTAGTGACTACCCTGTGCGACTGTTAAAATTTATAATAAACAGTACCTCCAGGTCTAAAATCCTCCTTCCTCACAGTCTTGACTACCCTGAATGTTTTGGATGTGTGTGTGTATCTACAGTCAAGCCATCACAGAGCTCTCCACAGAGTAGATGACCTGTGCATTTTCAGCAGCTTGGCTCATGGATCAGATGCGTTGTGTGTGAATACAGCATCTATGTTGAGTATTTGCTGTTGTCACACGCATTTATCCTTTATTCTTTCATCAGTTCGTCACTGTGCATGTGTCTGCAGCTGCTTCTTGCTTCCCTATTAACTCAGGACAGAAAGTCTCACTTTCCTTGTTTTTTGTTTTCATTTTTTTTTTTTATTGGTTGTGATATATGATTTTCTTCTCACAGGAGTATAGTCAGAATTACCATAAAAATGACTCAGGAGGAACCATGTCAGGAAACAATTTTAGCAGTCCAGCAGTTTTCATCCTACTGGGCTTCTCTGACCAGCCCCAGCTGGAGGCGGTTCTACTTCTGGTCATCTCTGTCATCTACATTGTGACTCTCATAGGGAACACAATGATCATAGTCGTGTCATTCTTGAATCCAAAACTCCACACACCCATGTACTTCTTCCTCTCCAACCTCTCCTTCTTGGACCTCTGTTTCACGACAAGTATTGTTCCCCAGATGCTCTGGAATTTCAAGGGCCCAGAGAAGACGATCAGCTATGCTGGTTGTATGGTCCAGCTATTCATTGCTTTGGGGCTTGGCTCCACAGAGTGTATCCTGCTGACAGTGATGGCCTATGATCGCTTCAGCGCTATCTGCCGACCCCTGAACTACGGGGTCATCATGCACCCTAAGCTCCTCCGGCAGCTGTCAGCCTTGGCCTGGATCAGTGGTTTTGGGGAGTCCACAGTTCAGACCTCCCTGGTTTTTCAGTTGCCTCTGTGTGGCCACCACAGGATGGATGATTTTATGTGTGAGGAGCCAGCCATGATTAAAATCGCCTGTGGGGACACAACCTTCCTAGAAAACGAACTGTCTGCAGCTATAGTCCTCTATGTGGTGATTCCCCTGGGACTTATTCTGATCTCTTATGCCTGCATTGTTCGGAGTGTGCTAAGGATTAAATCCACAGAAGGACGGAGGAAAGCATTTAGTACCTGTGGGTCACACCTGATTGTTGTGCTTTTGTTCTTTGGGACTATAATTTCCGTCTACATTCAACCCAAGAGCAAGTACACACAGAATCACACGAAGTTCCTCACCCTTTTCTACACTGTAGTGACACCCTCACTTAATCCACTGATCTACACCTTGAGAAACAAGGAAGTTAAGTGGGCAATAAAAATGCTGCTGACCAGAGACTCAAGCTAGAGATAAGAAACCTCATACAATCAGATTTGAGGGATTTTTAGAAGTTACATAATTAGTACAGTTTTTTTTGTTGTTTTTTGTTTTGTTTTGTTTTGTTTTTGGGTTGAATGTAGACGACAGTGTCTTCCTGTAGCCTCAGCTGTCCAGGAACTTGCTATGTAAACCAGGCTGGCCTCAAGCTCAAAAAGATCTGCCTTCCTCCACCTCCCAAATGCTGGGACTAAAGGTATGCACCATCATGCCCCCCTCCCCCTTTTTCC